TTTTTTGAGATGGAGTTTCACTCTTTGGTGCCCAGGCTGCAGTGCAGTAGTGCAATCTCAGCTCACTGCAACCTCCGCCTCCCAGGTTCAAGCAATTCTCCTGTCTCAACCTCCCGAGTAGCTGGTATTACAGGTGCCCACCACCATGCCCGGCTAATTTTTGTATTTTTAGTAGAGACAGGGTTTCACCATATTGGTCAGGCTGGTCTCAAAGTCCTGACCTCAGGTGATCCACCCACCTTTGCCTCCCAAAGTGCTAGGATTACAGGTGTGAGCCACTGTGCCTGGTCAAATTTCTAATCTTTTTTTTTTTTTCTTTTTTGAGACAGAGTCTCACACGGTTGCCCAGGCTGGAGTGCAGTAGTGCAATCCCGGCTCAGTGCAACCTCTGCCTCCTGGGTTCAAGCAATTCTCACGCCTCAGCCTCCCAAGTAGCTGGGATTACAGGCGCATGCCACCATAGCCGGCTAATTTTTGCATTTTTAGTAGAGACGGGTTTTTCCATGTTGGGCAAGCTGGTCTTGAACTCCTGATCTCAGCAGATTCACCCACGTTGGCCTCCAAAAATGCTGGGATTACAGGAATGAACCATTGCACCCAGCCTGACTTTCTAATCTCTTCTATTCCCTGCCTTCCTGACCAGCCCAACCTGGCCACGAAGTCTGTTTACTCTGACTATGGTAAAAGAACATGAGAAGAGGTTACAGAACAGTGAGCTTCTCAGTTAACCAGTACCCCTGACACCACAAATGTGCTCTCAGTCTTATCCTGAAGCTTTCCCTGGCCAGGTTGTCGAAGTTGTTGAGTAAGATTTTGCCAATGTCTCCTTCCTTCTCCCGTTCTGGGAACCACATTTCTTCAGTCTTGGGATGTTCCTCAGCACCATCTGCTACTTGTTTTCATTGCTCAGTGCCAACTCAGTCTTCTTATCCAGTGCCTGGATTGAACTTTTGGGCATCCCAGTCTTTAGGTATAAGGTACACTTTCAAGACTCAGCTAGAGCCTTTGTTTTCAGGGGTTTCTCTCCCACAAAACCTGACTTTCTATGGGGGAGGATTCAGACTTCCACTGACTCCAGGAACCTTGAATATCTGTGGTTATAGAAGGAAGGGACTGTTCATAGACAGGCCAGATGTGACTTCAGCTTATGAGATCAAGGATTGAAGGCACGGACAGTCAGGGAGAGAGGCACTACACATCAAGTCAGAAGAAGTGAGCTAGGAGAACGGGGAGGGCAGGAGAGGGAATGATCGTTCACTCTGGGCATCTGAGCGAAGTTGATTTGACCTGGAGGAAAGTCTATGGCATCATGGAGAGCTCCCTGCTCAGTAGGGACCTTGGAGGAATAAGTGGGTGACAAGGAACACACAGTGCTGATAGAAGGGAGTGGGGGGCTGGGAAGAGGAAATAAGCCAGAGTCAGGATGGAGTACAGGCTCCTGAGGGGCCCAAAGGCGCCTTTGCACTGTTCCCTGCAGCAGTCCAAATTTATGCCAGGCAGCCTTCACTTTGTAGCAAACACTCTCCCTGCCAAAAATTCTCAAAGACAGAGAAGGGCTGGAGGGCACAGGGAAGGCTTGTGTCCCTATGGGAGAGTTTACCGAGCTCGGGTTTGGAGGGAAGGATCAGCTAGGACAAAGGTCCGGCCCATCTTTCTTCCCTTCAGACACTCAGCTGCATAAGCTCATTTTGCCTGGTGTGTCCCACAGACAGTACTATAGCCTGGTTCCTGCTTATCTTTTCCATTTGTCAGTTCTACAGGCAGGAGGACTGGTACCCAGCAACTGCAGTCACCCACAAAGTAATCTGGTCCTCTCATGCACGTGGGCTGTACTCGTGGCTGGAATATCTGCAGCCAAGGTCTTGGCTCAGAAGTGAATGGCTCAAGCCCAGAAAAAGGCAAAATTCCTCCAAGATGGAATCAGCCCTTAGGAACCAGGCAGAATAGAATAATACATGTTTTCCTATGCCCTGAATTCTGGGGAGCCTCAGCAATGCCTAAGACCTAGCAACTTGGGCTCAGCCTTCCCTGAGGGGCTTCAGGTGCCAAAGGACAAACATGCTAAAGCCAAGTTCTGCAAAAAAGGTACTGCATGTGAAGAGATGGCTGTACCTTATGACTACATCCTGACAGCCTCAGGCTGCAGGTAAGGTAAGGCTGCTTTCATCACCTGGACCTTCTCCTCTTGCCAGGGCAGGGTAGAAGGTCTAAGGTCTCATTTAGAAGAGTGATTTCTTCCTATCCCAATATAGCTGGCTTTTGCCAGCATGGTTTAGTTTAGGTTGATTACAGGGAGATGAGAGCAGAGAAGGCCCCTGAGCTACTAGCTCCTTGGAAGAAAACCAGAAGCAGCCGGACACGGTGGCTCATGCCTGTAATCCCAGCACTTTGGGAGGCGAAGGCAGGCAGATCACCTGAGGTCAGGAGTTTGAGACCAGCTTGGCCAACATAATGAAACCCTGTCTATACTAAAAATACAAACATTAGTGGTGGTACACACCTGTAATCCTAGCAACTCGGGAGGCTGAGGCAGGAGAATGGCTTGAACCCAGGAGGCAGCAGATGCAGTAAGCCATGATCGCGCCACTGTACTCCTGCCTGGTGTCAGAGTGAGACCCTGTCTCAAGAAAACCAGACGCCTGGCTGGATTTACAGTGCACATGATCTCAGCTCTCTTGTCCAGACACTGCCTGATGCTACCTACCCCTTTCCCTGGCCCTTTGTTGTGGGCTTACTTCCTTTCTTCCTCTTATACCTAAGGGAAGTTACCTGTCAGTTCATCTAGTCTCTGCTGTCTCCTGCCCTTGTCAATTTTCTTTTACTCCCAAGGAAAAAGACATTCCTAGGCTCAGGTCTGGGCCCCAGCCCATCCAAGACTTCAGAACACTAGCAGGTACTTGCCTAGCCTGGGACTTTGCTTTCTGTAGCTTCAGACTTAAGGCACATATCTCATTTGAGTTTCAGCACTAGCATGAAATGGGAAATGGCAAGGGCCACACTTAGGCAGAGCGCCATCTCCCAGAGCCCCTGCCTAAAGACCTGAGGCTTTACCGCAATTTGCAGCCTCAGTATCTGCTTCCTGGGAATGCTAAAGGTCCCTCTCAGATTGAAATCCCTTTCCAATCCATCAGGTAACAGTCTATGCCCCTGTAAGCACAAGGCTACCTTCTTTCATCAGCTGTTGGGCTTGTGGGCTTCCTAGAATCATGCCAACCATCTCAGCTCAAGGTAGCTTCAAAGTCAGTAAGTCACCTGCAGGTTACACGCTCTCCAAAGAATCCTCACACCACCACCTATGACCCTCAGGTGACAGACACCTGGGTCCTGGCAAGAGCCTGACAGAAAGTTAACTGAGCTGGCCAGATGCAGTGGCTCATTCCTGTAATCCCAGCACTTTGGGAGACCAAGGCAGGCAGATCACTTGAGGTCAGGAGTTCGAGACCAGCTTGGCCAAGATGGTGAAATCCCATCTCTACTAAAAATACAAAAATTAGCCAGGTGTGGTAAGTGGGCACCTGTAATTCCAGCTATTTGGGAGGCTGAGGCAGGAGAATCGCTTGAACCTGGGAGGCGGAGGCTAACTTCACAGTCCAGGAGGTGCCTGCCTATTTCAAACAGTCCCAAAGATTCTATATGCATAAGTGATTCTTCACCACAAAGGAACATCATCTGGATTCAAGTGGAAGACAAAGGACACACAAATGGCCTCAGTTTCAAAGATCTCATGCCCTCTTCTTAGCCTTCAAACACTTTGCCTCAACTTAGGGGAGGGAAAGACAAAGTGGGCAACGTTTGGGAGGGCCTAAACATCTGCCCCTGAAATCTCTGGAGGTAAGGGGCCTGAGAGGACAGCAAAGTCATTAAGAACATAGGCTTGAAGTCAGAGACTTAAGTTTTAGTCCCCAATCAACCACTAATTAGCAACATGAATTTATACAAGCTTCCTAATCTCTTTGAGCCTCAGTTGTCAGTATCTATAAAATTAAGACAACACCATCTACATCTTACAAGGCTGATATGAGGACAACATGAGCTAATGACTGTACAATGCCTGGCACATGATCAATAGTCAATAATAGTTACTTATTTTATAATGAAAGCCTTTCTGGTGGCAAGGGATATTTGGAAGTTCTGGTTGTCTCCAGATAGTTCTAACCGTAAGCCAGGAGCTAGGGCCTCATACATCTTCATTCAGCCTATGCAGATTCTGGTGAAGAGGAAACAACATCGTCTATGCTTTTTCTCCCCCACGAGACCAAGTCTTGCTCTGTCACCCAGGCTGGAGTGCAGTGGTGCAATCTCAGCTCACTGCAACCTCTGCCTCCCAGGTTCAAGCAGCCTCCTTGGGACTATAGGCGCGCACCACGACACCCGGCTAATTTTTTTGTTATTTTTAGTAGAGAACGGGTTTCACTGTGTTGGCCATGCTGGTCTCAAACTCCTGACCTTGTGATCTGCCTTGGCCTCTCAAAGTGCTGGGATTACAGGCGTGAGCCAACATACCCAGCCAACACTGTCTATTCAATGTGAAAGCAAGCCTA